GTTGACCGCGAGTTCATCCCCAGTGTCTCTGTGGGCGCCTCTGCTGGTTGGCAAAGTTGACCGTGAGTTCATCCCCAGTCTCCCTCTGTGGGCGCCTCTGCTGGTTGGCAAAGTTGACTGCGAGTTCATCACCAGTCTCCCTCTGTGGGCGCCTCTGCTGGTTGGCAGGTGGCATCTTGGGTGGGAGGTGCTGGATCTCTGGGCCTTCCCAACTGCTCCCACGTAGTGGGACTGGTGTCAGGCTGGGGGGAGGGGGGAGACCCTGCCCTTGTAGTGTCTGCAGAGGGCCAGAGGCCGGCAGGTCGGCCAGGCGGCAGGGGCGGCGGCGGGGCCTCCAGGTGTTGGGTGCAGGTGTGGAGGGGCTGTCTGCGGTCCCTGGGATGCGGGGCTCTTTATCCCAGTGACCTCGCCGTCTGGTAGGACAGGGCTGTGTTTCTCAGGAAAACTGTCTAACCGAGTGAAGAGCAGAAATGATAGTATAACAGACCGTCACCCAGATGCAACCACCATCAACATTTTGACGTATTTACAGCTGGTACGATTTTCTTCTGAACTAGTCACGTGACAGGTACTGTGCCATTTTACCCTCAAATCCTTCAGGACCAGTCCTTGAAGGACCGCGCTGTTTCCCTCAGAAACACGACGGCAGGACAGAGCTCTGCCTTGAGGGCGGGGGTCGAGGGAGAAGGGGTGCTGGAAGGCCGCCTGGGGTGGGAAGCGGCGCAGACCCCCTCGGGCTCGGTTTGGGAGGACCCCAGGGCCTGTGGAGCCCAGGCACACGCTGGGTGTGGGTCGGGCAACTGCACACAGGTCTGCGCCACGGAGCGAGGGCAGCACCCCTGGCCTGGTGCCCGGGGTCAGCGGGGGACCCAGGGAAGCCACTGTGATGCCCTGTCTGACCGACGGAGGATCCTACCACCCGTGGGGCCAAGCCTTGGCCCCTCCCAGGCCTAACGCCTGCCTGGGTGGTGAGGGGTCCCGCTCCAGTCCCTCTGGGTCCCCAGAACCGGCCATGGAGGGGTCTCCCTGCAGGGTTGGAGCTGAGCCCCGCACTGTCCCTCTCCGGGCAGGTCCCAGGCCTCAGGGGGACCCAGAGTGCCCCTGCCCCGGCCCACACGGTTCCTCTGCCCCAACCCCCTATTCCTGACCCCACCCAAGAAAAGCACAGCGCTGGCTTTTCGAGACAGTTTATGGTGCTGGGGCCTGGGGGTGGAGGGAGGCCGCCGCTCTTTGAGGAGGGCTGGGTACCCTGAGCTCCAGCATCACGGCCCTCTGCTCCAACCCCTGGGCTGGGTCCCTGACTGCAAACCAACCGGGCAGCAGCTGTGGGGAGGGGCGGCAGCCTCTCACCTCCTCCTGCCCTCCCTGGGCCCGCCCCGGGGCCCCACTCTGTCCCTCCCCGCTGCTGCCCCAGGACGGAGGACCCCCAGAGTGCAGCCCTCTGGCCAGGAGGGGCCTCCCTGGGTCAGCAGGGCACTGGGTCCGGGCCAGCCCCATGCACTCACCTAGGCGAGGGCGCCAGCACACTGGCCTGTGGAAGAGAGCAGGGCCCGAGGAGACACCCAGTGCCCCCTCCCCGGGCTGGAGGCGCTGCACCCCCCCGGAGTAGCCAAGCCTCCTGGCCTGTGACCCCCTCCTGAGGGGCACTGGCCAGGGCACCGCCCACCATCCCCTGGTCCTCCTGTTCTGGGTCCGGGGCCAGTGGAGTGAGGCTTGGGCCCTGGCTCCCCCCGACCCGCCCCCCACCATCAGGGTCTAGGGTCTTTCAGCTCCTGCAGCCCTGAGCCGGCACGGGGACAGCGCTCACCTGACTTGGGCAGCAGGGCGCCCTGGCTGGGGTTCAAGCCCACTTGGGGTGCCAGCTGCTGCATCTTCTGGGCATCTTCAGGAAATGGCTCTGGGGCCCGGGCTGAGAGCAGAGAGGGCCAGTGAGCAGAGAGGCAGGGCTGGGAGGGGGAGGGGGAAGTGGGGAGCAGGGGGTGGGAAGGGACCCCAAGGAGACACTGGGAGATGGTGGTTCCACCTGCCACCGAGTCAGAGCTTGCTGCGAAGGGCACGTGGGCACTCCAGACCAAACCTTGCATGTGGCCCCCAGAGAAGGCCGTGATGGGCTGAGGGACGCGTCAGGAGTGCTGCCGCTCTAGCTGGGTCACCCACCACCCATCACCCACTGTAGAGCCGCAGCCAGACGTTCCTAACGTCCCCCTTCTGCGTCTAGGAGTACAACACGGTGCAGTGCTTGTAGTCGGTGAAAGCCACCCGGATGTTGGTCTGGGCCATGGCTGGCGAAGCGAGAGCCTGCGGAGCTGGGCGCCAGCTCAGGATGCCCCGTCCCCTCCGCACGGCCCTGGCCAAGCCAGCCCTGCCGCTGCCCACCCTCTGTCTCTCTCCCGGCACTGCCCACCTCACCCGCGCTGCTGAGCCACCCGTCCACGGCATCCTTGGTGAGGGTCGCGTCCGTCTTCTGGCACCCGCCATCGGGCCTGGGAAGGAGGACCCCAGCAGCCTGCACAGCAGCCCCGGCCAGGCCGCTGCGGCCCCACTGGGCCCCCTGAGCGGGGAGAGTCCGGGCCAGCCCCCAGCCCCTGAGGACGCTGCCCGACCATGACACAAACGGCTGCCACTTAGGTGTTGCCGACGGCCGCGTGTGGGCGATGGTGTCCAGCCTGTCCCAGGGCCCACCTGTCCCCGCCGTCACATCGATGCTTAATCACACAGGTGCTTTATAATTCACTTACAGGTCAGGAGACACTCTGGGGGGCAGGGGGACACAGTCTGGGGTTGCGGGGTCTGTGGGGCCTTCCGGTTTCCCCTCCAGACACACATGCACGCGCACACCCACACACACACCCACACGCACGCATGCACGCACACACCCACACATGCACACCCACACACGCAGCGCACGCACGCGCACACCCACACGCACACACCCCACACGCACACACAGCACACACTCGCACGCACGCATACAGCACACACCCACGCGCACGCACGCACGCACACGCGCACGCACGCACAAGGACGCTGCTCCTCCACGCCCAGGCCTCAGGCGGGCCCCTCGGGGAGCAGGCGAGCTGCAGCTGCTGCTTTAACGGCCCCCGCAGCCTGGCGCAGGGTCAGGGGCGGGCCTGGCTCTGGCTCCCTGACGGGTCAGGGACACCTCTGGCTCCTGCTGGCTCACGTCTGACCTCACGCCGGCCGGGCCTACGGCCAGTCCGAGGTGGGGCTCCTGGGATCCCTTATGCGGTGTACCCAAACTTGAGGCCCAGGTCGCCGTTGGCCAAGGGGGTCACCAAGACCACGGGCATCTTCATGCTGTCCTTGGAGTCCAGGAAGCCCTGGTCATCTGACACCGCCCCAGCCGTGCACCAGATGCCCTGGAACTGCAGGGAGGGGACAGGGAGAGCTGGGGGGCAGCCCCTGTGCCACAGCCTCCCTGACCTGGAATCGGGGGGCGGGGCAGCTGCCACTCATCCGGTCTGAGGCCTGGGGAGTGGCAGTGAGCACAGCCCAGAGGCGGGGCTGAGGGGCCTGCCGTCCTCCGCAGCACACCCACCCCAAGCTGGACGAGCAGACGGACGCGAGCTCTGTCCCCTGTCCCCAGACATGAGCTAAGCTTGGGCCAGAGAGGGTATGGGCGGGGCTGGGCTGGGCTACCCCAGCCCTCCGGCCTCTCTGGGTAGAACGCAGCCAGAAGGAGGCTGTCTGTGAGGAGCAGGTCTGGCCTAGGGAAGTCTGGACACACCTGGCTGGTGTCAAGTTGGCCTGGGTGGGGACCTGGGCCCAGCCTGGGGATGCCGCGAGCAGCGCGAGGGTCCAGCCAACGAGCAGCACCTGCAGCGTGGTGGAGGGTGTCTCTCGTCGACTGCACGGGCTCAGGGGCGGGGTAGGAGAGTTGAGATGGCCCCTCCCACTGCGCCTTTAGGCCCTCGAGACACCCTGGGGCGCTGGCATGCTGGGACAGAGCCCACTGTGATGGGCTCACGATCGAGGTGCACCCTGGAGCACCTTGGCCCAGTGGCCCCCAGCCACCCCCGGCCAGCCCAGGTGTTTCCTCCTGGGGAGGGGCCGTATGCCCCGAAGCAAGGGGAGGCGAGGCCCGGCAGGCGCTCTGGGACATGGCCCCCAGCCCTTGGCCGAGGCCCAGCCTCAGGCCCCCTCCTCCAGGAAGTGTCCCAGAAGTCCACCCTCACCTCTGAGCCTCACACCCTCGGTGCCTGGGCGGGGCCTGGCTGACGTCTGCCTGGGTGGGGTCTGGTGGGCAGGCTGCACATGTGAGCCAGGAGGGCCCAGGACAGGGGCCTGAGAATGGCCACGCCGGCCAGGAGTCCGGGGGCTAGCAGGTGAAGGACTGCAGGGAGGGGAGACCGTGCTTCGGGTCTCTGGCTCAGCTTCGGTGCCAGAGGCCTGGCGAACGGGCAGGGCCGTGCCCTTGAGGCCCAGGCCAGAGGCCAGGGGACTGGAGACTCTCAGGTAGCCATGGGAGATGGGAGGGTGGCCTGTCTCCAGCCCACTCAGTCAGTCTGTCCCAGTCCAGGGGGGCACGGACACTCCGGCCACCTTCCTCTTGGTCCCCGCAAACCCGTATCTCTGCCCAGCCTGAGTGCACTAATCCCACGCCTTCAAAAACTGCCCTGGGCCTCGGGCCTTTCCCGGACGGGGGGCAGGGGGCAGGCTGTGGGCACCTGACCAGAACCGGCTCAGCTGCCGCTGGGCCTTGAGGGGCTGTGGTGAGATCAGGGCCCCGAGTGGAGTGGGTGGGGGACGCGTCGGAGCTTCCCCTAAGCTGTCCTGGCTTCTGACCCAGCCGTGTCTTCCACTCCACCAGGCGCCTGGCTAGCGGGGCCCTTGTTCACCCCTTGGGGGTGTCATGCAGAGCCAGCCTCCAAGATTTTACAGAGGGGGTAGGGAGACCTAAGAGGGCGGCGGTCAGGTCCCGGGGGCCTGCCAAAGCCAGGCCCAGGGGGGCAACGACTGCAGGACAGACAGACAGAGGCCAGGCTGCTGACTTGCTTCCGGAGTTTATTCTCAGAGCTGGGATAAAGCCCGAGGGGGCAGGGCCGGTGGCGCAGGAGCCGGGGCTGGGGTCTTGGGGGTGTTGAAGGAAAAGGCGGAGCAGGGCAGCATGGCCAGGTCCTGAGGGCTGGGGTCACCTGGCCAAGAGAGCAGGACCTGTCGGTGTGGCGGGCAGCACCGCAGTCCAGGCCCCGGGCCCCAGGCCCCTGCTGGCTGCAGGCCACGGGGGAATGGCCGTCCCAGGGCCCCACCCCCTGATGGGGGCCTCCCCGCCCCGCCCTCCCCTCCCCTCCCGGTTCCTGTTCCAGCCGCCAGCCCCTCCTACCCCAACGACCTCGCGGAACCCCAGTGGAGCCCCCTCCTCCTCGGAGCAGCCCCAGGGGCCTGGACCAGCCTTGCGTGGTGGGTGGGGCTGTGGGGAGCGTGCGCTGAGCGACCAAGTGAGTGAAGGAACGCATGGTGGGCACCGCTGGGTGAAGGCAGCCCCCAGCACCCACTCACCTACGTGTTCTCCTCCATGCACTTGTCTGCCAAGAGAAGCCCGGGACAGCGGTCAGCGCCCCAGGCCGGGCCACCTCCCCCGCCCCACCTGTCGCTAACCCCGCGGCCCTGGAGAGCGTCTCGGTTGACCCTCAAACTGCTGACTGCAGCACACCACCCCGCTCCCTGGCCCTGCTCCTCCAAACAAGGAGGGGGTCCCGTCCCTCCGGGGGCCCAGAGCAGGCTGCCTGCCCCAGGGAGGCCGTGGGCGCTGAGACTTCGGGGAGCCCGTGCTGAGCCCAGGGCGCTTGTCCCTGTGTCCCCATGGGCACACCCACCCCGCGGGTTTTGTTTCTAGGGCTTGCCCCCCACCGGGCTGGGGACCTATGTATCCTGGGGGCCGACCCGGGGCCTGGCACACAGTAGGTGCGCGGTGAACCCGGGGAGGGGGTGTTTCAGGCCAAGGTCACGGTGTGGAGGACAGACCGCCCACACTCTGGAGGCCGTGTACCGGTCAGCGGGCGGTCGGCCGGATGAACCCCAGGCCTCAGCCACCCCCGAATCAGGAGACCGTGTGTCTGCCTGTAACCTGACCTTAATCCCTCCCGTCAGATTAGTGGCCCCTCACCAGTCTGTGGCAGGAAGACAATGCTATCCTCTGTGAAGCCCTGGGCCTTGGCGAAGGTGGCGAATTTCTCCTTGATCTCAGCTGTGGGGGCCTGGGTGCGGCCTGGGGCAGAAGGAGAAGCCGCTGGCCTCCATCCGGGAGACCTCGCTCGGCCCCCACCCCCAGGCTTGGGGAGTCCCCAGGCTGCCCCGTGGGCCGGGCCTCAGGCCGGGCGGCGGGAGCTGGCGTGGGGCACGTACTGTAGAGCGTGGCCATGCGGAAGTCCTGGCCGGGGCCTCGGAAGCTCTCGGTGTAGAGCAGGGCATAGGCCTCGTAGTCCGTCTCCACCACCGACACCTCGTGGTTGCCGCTCCAGTCTGGGGGCCCAGGAGACAACCGCGGTGGGTCGGGGACCCCTGGGGAGAGCGCCTCTGTGGGCTGGGAGGGGCCCTGATGCCCCACGCTCTGTCCAGCTGCCTTCCCTGCCCCTCCCCAGACCGCTGCTTCCTGCCAGCACAGCCCAGCGGCCCCAAACCAGAAGTCCTGGGGGCCCAGCAAACACACAGGCTCAGAAAATCGGGAGTTCATGGGACAGCCACAAACTCTGCAGCCAAACTCCTCTCGGGAGGAGGAGAGATTCGCAGTGGGGAGGTCATTCCCGGGCAGGGAGCGAGGAGGCCCGAGGTCCTGGGGCGGAGAGCTGCGGAAGGTGTGGGGGAAGCCTTGGGGGCAGCGGGACGGGGCAGCAGACAGCTGGGGAGATTCCATCCCGGGGCAGATCCAGGCCGACCCTGGCAGAGCAGCCATCACCCCCCCCCTCCATGTACTGCAGGGCAGGGTGTCACCCAGAGTCCCCGACCAGCAGGTGTCACTCCTGAGTTGGCCCTGGGGTCTGGCGAGGGGCCCCACTCACGGGGGCTGGTATAGCTGTAGCAGCCTGGGGGGCCTGCAGGACGCAGCAGCAGAGTCCGGGTCTCACACTGGTCTTTCCTGTGGGCAGGTCACCCTCGGGTCAGGGGTCAGGCAGGGGTGGGGGCTGTCCCTAGACCGCGACCATGGGCAGGGAGCTCTCGGCCCCAGAAGCCCACCCCGCCGCCCACCTGAGGAAGGTAGACGTGAGATTGAGGCCACCGTCTGCCGCGGGGGCCACCACCGACTTGCACATGGACAGCGCCTTCTTCTTCTCCAGGAACCAGCTCGAGTTGGAGGCGAGGCCCGAGGTGAACCAGAGCCCCAGGAACTGCGGCGAACGGCCCCCACCCTGGTCAGCCGGGACCCTCCCGGACGCGCCATGGTGGCCGCCCCGCTCCTCCCCCTCCCCTCCCCTCCCCTCCCC